CAAGTCGCTAGGCACTACAAGACACCAATTAAAACTAAAATTATAATACGTTTTACAATCAACTTAAATCGACGCGCGCGTCTCTCGCAGTATAACGTCACGGGACACCTGCGCGTTCGGGAACTCCGATCGCATCCGATGACGCCCGAGTGCGACCGAGTGTTGCACGCTACATGTCTATGGGCTTTGATGACCACTTAGCCGTAAACTCCTTCACCCACTTGAGCAATAAAAATATATTGATAATATTAATTTAATAAAGTATAGATTTATAGTTCTGTTAAATTGCCTCAACCTAACTGTACCTCAACTGTTACCTCAAAGTAACTGGGCGCAGGCGCTCGCCGAGTCCTCTATCTTAACGTTACATTGCCTGCACTACTAAAAGCACATGACACACAATATCTACTACACTTACGAGCGGTAGGATGTCTTGTAAGCTCGGATGGGTAAGTAACACTATCTCATCTATTTCTGCCACGAAGCAGTCATGCGTTCCTGTATGAAGGGTGGGAAAACCATTGTAAAATACGATTGATTCCTTTCATGTATTACCATCGTCGCCAGACAAGCACTCGCTTCACCTGCTGTTGTCTGGTTACCGTCGCCCATTTACGTCGGCACGACCAGGGACAGCCAACTCGCTATTTGCTGCTGAGTCGGTATCCTCGACCTCACATGACATGGGATCTATGAGCATAACTACCCGATACCAGGCAGGATGTAACATTGTTTACGGTGAGAAAGCAATCTACTATGATCACAATGAATGAAGCTTATGGAATTTATCAAGTTTTTTGTCTTCGGGTAAATCTTTCGTAGCTACCCCTCCCCACGCCCCCTCGCCCCCCGCGCGGCACGCAGGGCGACTTCTAACTCGCTCGTATATAGTTCACTTGTTCAAATATCATTAAATATAACCAGTCTCAATATTATATTAGGTAATATTTTAGTGACTTTTAGTCTTCAGTTTAATATTTGTTTTTTGAGAAGCTGTACAAAAGCTTAATATGAATTAAAAGCAAATACTAATATGAATTATGTAATGATGTCTGTCTGTTGAGGCCGTAATGTTTAGCTGGTTCATTTTTGTTATTGGTATATAACTTCAAGAACTATTTTTATCCAAAAAAAATTTTTATTGTTTTCTTGGGTGGACGAGCTCGCGGCCCACCTGATGTTTAGCGGTTACGGGAGCCCATAGACACCTACAACGTAAATGCCGCCACCCACCTTGAGATAAGAGTTTTAAGGTCTCAGTATAGTTACAAAGGCTGCCCCATCCTTCAAATCGAAACGCAGTACTGCTTCACGGCAGAAATAGGCAGGGTGGTGGTACCTATTCGTGCGGACAAGAGGTTCTACCACCAGTAATTACGAAAACTATAATTTTGCGGGTTTGATTTTTATTACACGATGTTATTCCTTCACCGGGGAAGTCAATCGTGAACAGTTGTTAAGTACGTATTTCATCAGAAAAATTGGTACCCGCCTGCGGGATTCGAACACCGGTGTATCGCTAGATACGAATGCACCGGATGTTTTATGCTTTAGGCCACGACGACTTCTGAAATCTGTTATCGATAGAAATCTTCGAATAAAAACGGGATGAAATTATCAAAGCTCCTACGGCTTCCACAGAGGCACATCCTAATTCATAAGATTAATTGAAATATTTTCATGTTATATAAAACTTCTAAGACACCATATTAAAGATTCAAGACCAATAAAGAAGTTCAGAGGTCTTTGGTCCGGTTATTTCGTTACTGAACCATCGGACGCCTGAACCGGTCACGTCGAACTCATTATTTCCGAAGTATTCCAGCTACCCGATGGACCAGCTGATATACAAAGAATTTGTGGCTTCGACCCCATGTCTCAAGGTTGTGGGTTTCGGTGACCAGGAAGTCCCAAGCCGGTCGCACTCTCGTCCACGTGTAAAAAAAAATACATCGCTTTATTCTTCAAGCCGCACTACTCAATCGCGGTTAATGATTGTAGCAGCACCCAACCCCGCAAGATACAAATACAGATGTACTAATGAATGCCCTATCGTATCTACCGCATATCTCTACCTAAAAATGTAACTTTATCATTATTTGGCAGTTCGATGTAAAAGCAATTACTCATATTATTGTAGCTACTGCACGTTACCCAATGCAGCCACCGGGGAATAGACTAAGGGCGTGGAGACACGCGCGGCTGGTGACCTCACACAACATTACACGCTCGGTCTACTCCGCCATACATTCTAGCAATATTGCGCAACTAAGGGTGTCGGTGTGTCTGTGCTACAGGCCTGCATGTCGGTGATAAGCTCATCGCTGGCGACGTTCATCAAAAATAACGCAAGAGGTACATATCGGACCCATCTACTTTCAAACTTTTCAAACTTGTAATATGTTTGTGCCGAAACTAGAATGAAGTCGAAACAGTTCTAAATCGTCACACAAGATGTTGATATGGCTACCGGTCTGCCAAAGGCTGATAAGCTACGGGCCACGTGATGTCTAGAGCGTGCCCCCTCGGTGTCAACATAAAGCACGCAGCCGCTGGGTCCTGTGCGCTATAAAGCATTAAGAACAAGTCAACACCAACAAAAGCTCAGACAGAATCGTATTAAATGTTCTGTTTTCGTTGCAGAGCGAGCACGGCACTCCCGGGAACAGCCGGCCCGAACTATTTAATCGAGCCGAGCCCGCCCCTTCTGGAACCTTCTCTGACAGACTCGGTATTCAATTATGTTTGTGACTTTTATTTGTACTGTTCATGTTACGTGGACATTATGTACGATGTTTAAAGAGTATATATTTTTAAGATATTTAAAAGACATGATGGCTGCAACAGTAGCTCTGCTAGTGTGGTCTCTCCTCGCCCTATTGCTACGACGTCTCTGTTATCCGTGAAGCGTAGTAGTATTAGCTTCTTTTTTCTACTTCCTGTCCTGTCCTGTCTTTCCTACCAGTAACCTTGAGCACAGGAAGTAGGTCGTTGCAACCCTGAAGGTAATTCTGGTATCCGGTTTCAATGAAGGATAAGTAGTAGTACTAGGTAACACTGCGATGTCCGTCCACCCAAAAACTAGAGCAGCAAGTTGATTTTAACGGTAGGCAGCGGCTTGGTTCTGCCCCTGGCATTGATGAAGTCCATGGGCGACTGTAACCACTCGTCATCAGAAGGGTCGTATGACCGTCTGTCTACAAGGGCAATAAAAAAAAACTTGCATAATATATCGATGGCAGCGAAGTATGTTGAAAGTCCTTATTTTTTTGCCACACAATCATATTTTATGTGTATTGTAGTGTGAATGCATTGAAGTCGTCGTGGCCTAAAGGATAAGACGTCCGGTGCATTCGTGTTGAGCGATGCACCGGTGTTCGAATCCCAGGTGGGTACCAATTTTTCTAATGAAATACGTACTCAGCAAATGTTCACGATTGACTTCCACGGTGAAGCAATAACATCGTGTAATAAAAATCAAACCCGCAAAATTATAATTTGCGTAATTACTGGTGGTAGGACCTCTTGTGAGTTCGCGCGGTTAGGTACCACCACCCTGCCTATTTCTGCCGTGTAGCAGTAACGCGTTTCGGTTTGAAGGGTGGGGCAGCCGTTGTAACTATACTTGAGACCTTAGAACTTATATCTCTCAAGGTGGGTGGCGCATTTACGTTGTAGATGTCTATGGGCTCCAGAAAGCACTTAACACCAGGTGGGCTGTGAGCTCATCCACCCATCTAAGCAATAAAAATGAAATAAAAAAACGCCCGCAGATTGCCCAACCTTCTCCCGTCCCTCGTCAAAGTTAATAATTAAAGGATTAAATGAAACACGACTTGTAATGTTCACGATGCTTATGTTGTTATGAATGTAACGTTTATTCCTACTATTACTAACATTTCGAGTAACTTTAGTACGAAATATGTACTAACAACAATATACAAAATTATTCTATAGAGGTAAGAACGATGTGGTGCTCAACTCTGCGGGTGCCGGTGCGGCGGCGGTGAGATCTGTATTGTGCTCGCGAGACACGCCACGCAAGAGGTGTCATTGGAAATACTCGCCAAGTACTCCTGAGTCAATAGGCAAGTTTTATCGCAGCTGACGTGGTGCGCTGCGGGCTGATTCGGATGCATTACAACGAATTTGGATCAGTGATACTTAGATCTTACATACTGGTTTGATAAGTTGAAGCAAATCCAACATACTATGTCCTGTTATCTTATAAACTCTATTTTTGAACAAATTTAACAAATGGCAGCTGGCACACGCAACGTTAACGTAGCGTTGGCGACAATGTAGATTCCGCTGTAACTCCCCGAGAGCTTTGCACCCTTCAAAGTTCATATTTAGACTAAAATACTGAATTTTTACTTAGACATTCGAAATAACTAGATTCTTTTTTCATTAAAATAAACTAAAAGAATATACAGTCGAGTATTGGCTGCTCTAGAGAGCTTGCGTGGTTTTACATTCTTATAAAAACTTCTTATAAGTTTAGAACGAAATGGACTCTACTAATAATGTTTTATTTAAAACAAAGGGCTCATACTGTGATGACAGTAGAGCTATGGTCATTGATAGTATCAGGGGCAAGGACCACTTGCATCTGTGAGACTCGCTTGAGATCGCATCCGTCATAGCACTGGTATAGTAACACGGGTCCAGTCAATATACAATATGTGAGTCACGACACGATAACAGTTGTATTCTCTTCTATTTCCTGCTCAAGCACATTTGACCTATTTGTAGTGTTTATTTTAGTAATACTAGTCATTATGTTGTAGCAATCTACAAACAGTATATTTTACAATAATATGAGTCGGATTCGTTCCAAAATACAATCGTTTTTGGTTTAATTTCAATTTGTGTTACATTAATAGGATAAATAATTGAGCGACATTTTATAAGTAAATATTAATTGAATTTTGTATTGAAAATCTGTCCGTCACTCCTGATTAAAATTGATTTTAGGATAATTAAAAATAATTGCAGGCTTCAATGATTTTGTAAAAATGGATAATTTTTTTGCAAGAAAGTCTTTACTTATTCAGCTTGTCTTATTCAATATTAGGTACATATAAACCTGGCACACAAAAAACATAAGAAAACTTATTTAGTGTACAGTTAACAGCGTATTATTAATAATGCGGGAGTCGTTTACAAACACCACGCAAGTCCTAATGCAGGAATCAACTCGACTCAATCTCTAACTTAAGCGTCGATGTAGTTCTCACTGGTGTCGTCTTCCGATCGCTTCCCGAGGCCGAAACTGAACCGATGCATGTCTCTCTGTCGTTTGCCGAGCCCGAAGTTGAACTTGCTGCTTAAGCGCTTTCCGAGTCCAAAGCTGTAGGAGCGCGCCCTCTTCCCGAGGCCGAAGCTGTACATGCGCGCCCGCTTGTCCTCCGCGGGCTCCTCGGCGAAGCGCTTCCCGAGCCCGAAGCTGTAAGGCCTAGCGCGTTTCTCCACGTAACCTGTTGGGACAGCTACTTACAATTAATTACTGGTTTTTTTTCTATCACGCAGGACGCTCCGAATCCACTCAACTTTTAGATTAGATACTTTGTTCTCGAGGTGTACTGCATTGCTAGCTTGTTGAATGACTAGGAGTACTGTGTTGAGACCGTTATTAGTATAGATGTTCAACTAACTACGTGCTACTGCCAACGTCAACTAATTAAAAGAGTAATTCGAATATGAATTCGTAGCCTGTACAATATTAAATTATTTAAATAATTTTCCAAAATTAACCTCGAATGTCTCTAATTACGCATTAATAGCATTATTAGCCTATTTATATAACATTTCAAAAGTAACGTAATTATACGGAAAAGTACCGTGTGCACAAACATAACAAAAAAACAAAATAATCTGCAAACCACCGGTTGTTGATCTCTCCCGGGTTCAGTTATTGCTCTTCCGGGAGAGATCGTGTGGAAGCTGGCAGTTGTAATTTGTTCTGAAACAGCCCATCTGATGCTTAGTGGTTACCGGGACCCATTTATATCCCATGAGGTTAAAGTCCTTCAAACGTTGTAATCCTAACCAGGACACATAATTTAGATCCGGAAAATCCCGCGCTCTCAGCTAGTCTTGCTATAATTTACAATATATGTCGCAGTAGGGGTTTCACAATTAATTCAATCGTGTTTAGACTTTAAGAATACGGCACTTTTCAACTAATAGGAATTAAGTTTTGTTAAGGGTAACTTTTGTATTGAAATAAAACTAACTAAATGTTGTGGGCACACGGTACCTACACTACATTTTAAAAACTATATTTCGTTATGTTTCGAAGTCAAATTATTAGATCGACTGATTTAACAAAATTATGCTAATTCAATGGACTGAGACCAACGTCATTACGAAACTTATTTTTTTAGCGTTTTTTTTTCATGACCTTTTTTTCATGTTATTTTTTTTCATGACCTCGGCAGGTGAAGTGCCGGGACAACGTCATGTAAAATTCGTTTAGTCCTCAACTTGATTAATAGAATATCTTTGTTATTGCATGGACGACTTAACCAAAACTTATGTGAATAATTTATTTATATGATAAATCCCACAGGACTACAAATTATATGGCGAATAAAATAAAGAAAACATTGGCGAGAGGGTTTGGTTGTGTGTATCAATCGAACGTAAAGCTCGTTGTGATGCTTATAGAACCATATTAACACAACTTTGGCCATTACTAGCATCATTCTAGCATTTGAGAATTCTTATTTTTCAATTGAAAACACGAGTACAGTATAAAATTGTTGTGGCGTATTGTGAGAGCACACAGGGAGTGCCACCCGGTCCAGTCCTGCCACAACACACTACGGCTGTGTCCGGCTTGAAGCACGGGACACCTGCTATATTCATCTGCGACTTTGGTTGTGTGTCGGTATATAAATGTGTATAAGTACCTCCAAACTGTATCAAGTATATACCTGCAGAGTCATCATATTGATCGAAGAGTTCATCGAGTGTGTTCTGGTCGGCTTCGTTGGAGATGTCGTCATCAGGCTGCTCCGCGCCCGCCGACCGCTTGCCCAGACCGAACAAGTACGGGCGAGACCTGGGAACACGCAACGTAATACTATCCATCCAGCACCTTCTTTGTTCACGTGCCAAAATTATGATAATAATATCCACTAACTGAAAGTATCCCATTAACTACGCAGCACGCCGCTAACTCTCCGACGCATCGTGCTGTCTCGCTACTCAATGGCTTGCTAGCTTATTATCCGGAAATGGATATATTCCATGATGGTTTGCAGCGATTTATTGTTGTTGTTAGGAATTACTTAAGCTAATTATTAATACCTTACTAATGTTTTGGTTTGTACTATTAATTTGTAAGTAGACTAAATAAATAAATAAATGAACTACATACCTCTTTCCCAATCCAAAGTTATAGACGGGAAGCCTCTTGTACTCGGAGACATAGCTGTAGGCGCGCTTGCCGAGACCGAAGTCGTACTGGGGCGAGCGCTTCTCCAGCGGGGCAGCATGCTCGGCGACTTGCTCGGCGCCATGCTCGGCAACCTGCTCGGCGGCGAGCGCGGCGCCCAACACCAGCAGCAATGGGAGACAAGCCGACAGCATTCTGCGATACGAAACAAGGTTTGCTATCTACGGGTAGAGCGCACACGGCCAGCCCGCTCGGTAGGTGTATGAAGTGATGACTATGGGCTCCTTGACCACTTGAAATGAGGTGGAGCATGAGGCCACCTGTCTCTCTAAATTACCAAAAAGTAATAAAAGTCCTTTGTTTATTTTTAAGCTGTTTGTGTAAGATCATTATTCTGTACTTAGCCGCGTTCGTGCAAACTACCCGGCTCCGGTAAGTCTTGACGCTAAATGGCCGTGTCAATTATTTCGGGGCTAGCGTGACAATTATCTGGTACCAGTTAATGGAAGGAAGCGGATTAGTCGGGTTCACTTCGCTCCATATGTTCGGTATTATAGGAGCTGGACGCACGCGTTTGGCCATTCATTGCTGTAACGTGGCCTACACTGTTTGACTCCCCAATCTGCTTGCTATTATAATACAGAATACTTGATGCCGTGACCTAAAGATAAGATTCGGAAGGGTGCATGGAGCGATGAGACCATGGCAGAGTTCAAGTCCTGTAGGGTACCAATATTTTTAATTAAAACACACACTCAACTAATGTTCACGAAAAACTTCCGTGAAGTGTAAGTCTTATAATAAAAATGTCAGTACCCGGATAAACACTAGGAGCTCTGAGCTCTATTGATCACATAATCCGACTGCTGGATCGTTCTGGTGGTAATGGGGTAAGGCGCGTGGCTCGTGAGCAGCACTAGGGCCGAGACGCTGTGAGTCCCCGGTATCACGACACGATGTAAGAGAGTCGATGGATTTTGAAATCGTTGTGGCCTAAAGGATAAGACGTCCGGTGCGTATATAGCGATGCACCGATGTTCGAATTCCGTAGGCGGGTACCAATTTTTCTAATGAAATACGTACTTAACAATTGTTCACGATTGACTTCCACGGTGAAGGAATAAAAGGAAGGCAATAAAAAAAACATAAAAAAAGAGTCCTTTTGCAACTTATCTTTTTATTTTATAATTTGGATAAAACATTCATCTGTTTACCGTGTGTGATTAAATGTCGTCATGACCCCTACCTCTACAAACAATACATAGTTCAAGTATACGGTGACGCGAAGTTCCTAATCACCTGCTGACTCGTTGGAAATATTAATGATGTTTAATTTGTTCTCAAAATAGAAGCCCAACCGGAAAGAGGGATCGTAGTAGTTCGCGCTTGCGAAAGCTTTTCCCCTGTGTTATACGATTGTATGTAACTTCGGACCTTGACGCATTGTTAATCGGAGACATTTGTGATGGAAAATGAATCTATACTAATATATAAATCTACAGTGGTTTTTACGGATGTCCCGTTATAACTACTGAACCACACAACCGATTGACTTGAAACTTGGTATCCATGTTGAAAATACATGTACTTAATGGATAGGCTAATATTTATATGAGTGTTGGACTCCCTACACCAGTTGCGGGGGCGTTAATGATGAGAATCTTTGTGGGGGTGAGAAATAATAATGTTCATTTTAAATGTCCAGCGAAGCGGACGGGTACAAATAGTTATTTTTATAAATTTGGAGCTTGCAACGGTATTTTAGGGTTTTATTGAGCGCATTAATTATATCGTTATTTGTATTTGTAAGACGCACCTTACAGTGTCACGCGTTGTACCGGAAATCGTACGATATCAATATGTAGTGCCGATATAAGCGACGGTTTTGTTACTACCATAGAGCTGCCATACAGCATACCATAGAGCTTACAACGTAAATGCGCCACCCACCTTGAGATATGATCTCGTTCTCTAAGGACTCTAAGATCTCAGTATAGTTACAACGGCTGCCCCGCCGTTCAAGCCGAAACGCATTACTGCTTCACGGTTGAAATAGATGGGGTGGTGGTACCTACCCGTGCGGACTCACAAGAGGTCCTACCACCAGTAATGAGCACCTACCATGTCGTCGGCATCACGAGCTGGATCTGAAGATCCTTCACATTGGAATTCATTCCTGACAGGCTTGAGGCCAGGAAACTATCAACTTGGCTGCTCTCGTCTACTTTCAGTACAAGAAAGAAGATGTCTATCTGAATCCCTATCCCCGATCAGCCGGGTCGGCAGGTTGAAGTCAAATATGATTTTAAATTTAATGACCAGCTGTATGACGTCAGTTCTTCTTAGAACGGAAGGCGTTCTTAAAGCTTATCACGCCAACAAAACGTGCAAGATAACGTGATAATGATAATGCCCACGTCATGTGGGAGATCGATCCGCCGAGTGACAACGACGCTTCCTGCGGGACCAACATTTCCTTAAGTAACATCTTCGGAAATAAAACATTAGTTTATATATACGAGTATATAGAAACAAATCATATTGTACATGAGTTAAGATGGAAATTCTGTATTTAAAATCACAGATTGTCTCATTTCTGTCCTCACACACACACGCGCGCGCGTCGTATGATTAAAGACAAACATAAGGGATTTTAATGTCAACAAATCTTTACGTCTCGAAAGACTTTTGGTTCAACTAACATTTTTATATGTTTTTTTTCATTCTATTAACATACTTTCTTATTATAAATACTCCACGCACACACAGACAGCTATTGCTTCGTGAAGGCTTTAGTACCGAAGTTTATTTGTAAAGTCATCGCAATATGTCGAAGCGGGCGCGGCGGTCTGTGGGTTTAATATTCAGTTCACTATGAATTATATTGCATTTCTAGGACTCGGTAGTCCAGTGGAAGGCAACACAGAAACCTCGTTCAGGTGGGGCAGCTGATGTTCTGTGTACGATGGCTGGTGCTTATTACGTTTGTTGATCTCTTTGTGCTGAGTGATCACTTATCATCATAATAAAACGATTTATTTAAAACAAGATTTAAGAAAAAAAGAAAGAAAGAAAGAAATCATTTATTCGCCAAGCATAGTGAAACTGAGTTATTACATAAAGTTAAAAGCAGCGTGTATGCTTTGTCATTATTTGACATGCGAATTTTAGTGCAGTGCGAGATATTATGATATTATATAATTTACCATTCACTCATCCATAATTCAACTAATAATTAAAAAATCAATTTATTTTCAATGTCGTCCCTAAGAAAATCATTTATGTGATAATAATTTTCACTAATAAGATTATCTTTTAGTTTTTTTTTAAAATGAATATCTCTAAGTCTCTTAATTTCTTCGGTAGCTTATTAAATATCCTAACGCTCATGCCTAGTATACTATTATTCTTTAACGATTTGATACGTAGAGGACGAGTCGGATCTGTAACAGTTTCACTTCTATTCACAAACTTTCGTTCAACTTGGACAGCTGGACATAAGTACGACAAACTATGAGCTAAACATTTTAACAACTTCGTTCCCGCAAAAAGAGTACTTTTCGACAAACACACTCGTACCTCAGCTAAGATAAAATAAGCTTTCGAAAGCTCTATAACCATTTAAAAGCTATATGGCGTCACACAAAAATGCCGGCTATTCTAATAAAAGTCCCAAGAATATCCTCAGAGCTTGTTTACAAAACTGTACGATTGAATTCCAAATGAGCTTTCAGTGTAACCACATATCTTGAGCTTCACTTTACAACATACAAGCCCAGAGGCGGTTCAACTTAAGCTGTTTCAATTGGGCCAGTTACCTAGAGCTTCATGGTTGAATAGTTGTAGGGGATGGTGGTTCAATTTATATTGGCTTTTTAAAATAGAATGGGGGTAGTTATACGTATAAGAGTGTTGAACCCTCTTGCAGCCGTGATCTCAATGAAACAGTACTCTTAGATGTGAACTATGGTCTAACAGCTGGTCAATGAGTACATTAGTCCAATGATCATCTCAATTTGACATGGGATAATATTATATATGACGGAGGAGGAATCTCCTTAATGTTTTTAAAAAGTGTGACGTCAGCCTTGATTGTATCAATCAGTATAAAGTATTGAAATTACAATAAAAGAAATAGTGACGTACTGTCTAACATCAATTTCTTATCTTAATAAACACAAAGTAATTAGTTGATGATCAGATGATCCGATTATCACATTCAATCATTATTATTTTTACAATAAGTAGGTAAATAGTAATATATGCGCCGACAAGTATAATAAAAATAATAATAATTTACTTTAGTAATTGTTAAGTACATAAACGCACTTCCATTTATTTCTGATTACTCCTTCATTATCAATGCTGAAGCTACAGAAGCAACCTAATTGAGGTCAGAAGTGAGTTCTCAAGAGCTCATATACATGTACGTAAAAGTGAAATTTACTTTCAAGCACGTTTAAGTATTTTGTGCTTAAATATGCTTAGAGCAGGGTTCACAGGGGCTGTTTGCTTTTAATATTTCACAACTCATCGGAGGAGAGCGAATGAAAACGGCTACGTAATGTATTCAGTTAAAATTAACTCATTCATAATGAGACAAGGTAAGCGTAGGTATATAAAAATACACATTTTGTAATTACAACGGAAATGACCTATGAGTTAGTATCCACTACCGGACCTTACGATGCGCGTTCGACGCATTGAAGAATTGTGTGGGTCGTGCGGCGGCATGTCGCGGCAGAAACAGGCAAGGACCCCGGATTAACCATGGACTTAAATATACATTAAATGTGTTATTATTTTATTTATTTATTATGTAATTATCTACATTGGCGGACTTGATGCCTAAGACATTCTCTACCAGTTAACCAAAGGTGTAAGTAAAGTAGTGCAGAGTAAATAATATTCATTAACAATGTCCATTAACATAGTCAATAAGAGTCCATCATAAAATATATTGGTTCGGGTCCAGTTTTGAGTATGTGGTTTCGTTAATACGTCTCAGCGCGACACCACTGTGCCGGGGGGCGCCCTGTGGCTCCGTGACCAGCGTGAGCACCCGCGAACATAAACTGATTTACATATGGAAATACGTTAAGGTTTAAACTTTGAGCTTTTAAACTTTACGATAAACTTTATGTAACTACGTAATGACAGCTTTAGAACTACAAGTTCGAAAAGACGGAAGTGA